GTCATGTATAGGCCACCTGCTTGGCGCCCCAAACACATGGATCCTTCCTTTGGATTTCTTGGGCCCCAAAAACCCCGGCGCATCGCGCTTTGGCCCACGAAAACACCACCAGCCTCATGCTGCACCACCTGAGAGAGCTTTCGCAAGATTTCCTGCCGAACAGCGTTGGGCGCGAACAGCGTCAGCAAGAGAGGTTGAGAGGTTGAGAACTAGGACCCTGGGATGGTGGTACATATGGGATGGGCGCTCTGAGGCTGCTCAACCTCTCGAAGCGTCAGCAAGCGTCAGCGAGCGTCAGCCTTCTTTCGCTGCCTGGACCTTCCTGTCACGGAGTGAGGCGTGGATCCGTGTACCTTCCAAGTGGCCCCGGATCTGGCCAGGTGGGAACCACTTCTTTTTGATTGGGCCGGTGCTGTTCAAACCCGCGCACGATCTCAGCTGGTCTCCGTTTGGTCTCCGCCTCCCAGATCGGGACCAGGTGATCTGCAGATATGTTCCACCCGATCAGGATCCGCACCCGAAACAGAACAAGGGTTTTGAGGATACATGAGGGTACAAACCCTTGTGAACTAGAGGGTTCGACCCCTTCTGAGGAGGGTCCAAGGATCCTTAGGGCACACAATTTTGTGATGCAAGTGATGCCGCAACAGCTTCGGCTTGCATCTCCTGCATCAACAAGCACCTAAGACATGGCGATGTGTGTGTCCCTGCAGGAGTGACTCACTTTGTTCGCAAAACAAGAATATCCTGCCGGCTGACGTCAACCAATGATTCCCCAAAAGAAGACTGAAAACTCTCCAGAGAATAGAACCCCCTCAAGGCAATACTAGACCCTATGGATCCACATACCTTCTCAGAAGGTGATTGCATGGAGACTATTTATGTAGGCTTGGGGGACCCAATTACCTTCTGAGAAGGTATGTGGATCCATAGGGAGAGTATAACTGTGTTGATTGCAACTGACTCAGCGTTTTCTGGGGCCTCAAAGCACGGTGAGCCACCGTTGGGGAGGGCGATGCTGTGTTCATGGAGACAGCGAAGAAATCCCATGGCGATGAGAAGAGAGGACCGAAACGGAAGTGGACCGCAGGCCATGTGGTGGAATGACATGGACCCTCCAAGTCTGCGAGCAAGTGGAACAGTCACAACTGCTTAGATGCGACGCCCCGGATATCGATTCCTGAGTCTTTCTGGTTCGTGCTGTGAAGCAATCCAAGACCATCAGTGATGATAGTCTGGTAAGGCCTGCTGCTAAAGTTGACATGTTCTGGTCAAGCCTGCTATTGCCTCACCTTAAAGCACCTGGACCCTGATTTTCGAAACCTCCAACCCACCTCAAGGCTGATTGTTTGGAGAATGCGACTTGACACATTGCATATACAATTATATTTTAAGCTTACACGATTATACAATGTGCAATAAAAGACACATAAAAAACACACTAACAACGAACACATAAAATAGAAACATTAATAACTGTCAAAATATCCCCAGTAGCAACACCAATATGTTTTGGTATAGTACTTTTGAGAGTTTCAATGTTGGACGTCTTTTTCACTAGCCTCACCGGCTTGTACTTGCGACGATGGAGTCTTGTGCTTTGTGAATATCCCCGTCGATGGCCCGTCGCTGGCCCGGCGTGCAACTGTTCCTCTCGAGTCACAGCTCTTCCGTGGGAATCAAGGACAGACTCTGACGCCGAACCCAAAGCGACAAGGAAGGATTCTGAGAATGTTGTAGGCTTACTGAACCGTGTGTTCCGACAGATGTTCCGCTTGTTGCAAGGGACACCCATCAAAGTATTGAAGAGCAAATCCATAAATGAAAGAATTTGCAAATGGCCACGTATTCTCCAGCATCCCTTTTGCTCAAGCATTTCCTGCACTCTTCCGAGAAACAGGAGTAGATTCTCAACATCCGAATGAAGATCTTGTGGTTCTTGATCCGGTCAATGGCCTTGAGCTCCACCAAATAGAACATTCTTCAGTCGCTGAAGATCTTCGCATAGGCGGGGCCCCAACTTCTTTGGGGTCTTTCTTCGGTGACCTCCATTATGGAGGTGAAATACTTCCATCAAATGGCTCATTTTGAGCTTCATTCGTTCCCCAAGATTGCTTTGTGCAACATACTCACCAATATGTTTCTTCACCACTGCCTGCTTTTTCACACTAGATCTCGAAATGACTGTTCTCACCTTGCTCCATTATCCGCTGGACCAAGCTTGAACCTGGCCAACTTCACTTTCAGCATCTTTCGTATGGGTGCCATCTGCAGCTCGAAACTCTTTGTTGTGGTTCACTCATGAAAACACATAAATGCAGAAAGGGTAGTAGGCAATGGTTACTTACCTTTGGTAAGCATGGCACAAAAAATGTGCTTCTTGGAGTGTGCTTGGTTTATGTTATTGGTGCAAAGCCAGAGCAGCTCATTTGCGCTTCTGTCTTGTGCCAATGTACATGAAGCTTTGCATACAAAGCATTTTGCATGAGCATCCACAAGTTCATAGTACATGAACGCAAATAGAGCTCGCTAGGCTGAACTATCTTCAGTCTCTTCGCAATCCAGATCCTTGTACATGATCTCCTTCTGAAATGAACAAGCTTTAAACATAGTCATCCAGAGGTTTCCGAAAAGTATCCAATTCTATTGCTTCAATTGCAATACTCTTGGCTTCCTTCCCCCTATTATTTGAGCCAATTGCCACTATTGTAACACTCTTTAACATATATTGAATAAACTATACCCATTATATATATATACCTAGAACCTGATTGACCCTTGTTTTGGAGCCAAAACATGGTCTTTTCCTATCAAAACAGGGGTCAAATGGGTTCTAGGTACGTTATGTATACATATAAATATATTAAAACAATATATATATATATATAATTGTTATTTTTTTAAATATGTTCCCTTGGGCCAATCTGTTCGCACACCCTGCAACACATGTTTTCTTCTTCAGGCCTGGCTGCTCAATGACAATGCTCTTTGCTCCGGAGGAAAGCCTTCCACCTGACGTGCGACATGTCGTGCTGGCTGGCAAAGCCCCTAAGAAGTGGATTGTCATTGCAGGAATTGATCCCTGCTCAGCGTGGAGAAGAAACCCTGAGCCCCCAAGAAGTGGATATGATCCAGAAAGTTCTTTCGCCCTAGGACTTGATCCCTGGTCAGCTTGTTCATCAATGGAGAAACCATCAACACGACCAACGTTCTGTCCCAAGATCGTAGGTTGTCACAGTGACGGTGGCGTAGGTGGTAACATCGCAGAGGAGAAAAAGGGACAAAAGGAGTTGGTTCCGGTTTTTGCTCCGCTCACGTTTCAGGATGATACATCCGCGTCCATGAAACATGTCCTTCTCTCTCTTGAGCTTCCAAGCTCTGTGAGTGTGGGTGTCAAACCACCAGAGTAGCAAACTCGGCAGATTCCACTGCCAAGTTAACCACAAAGCCTCTAAAGTTACAGTGGATTCAACGAACGCATTCAGCAACAAAAACTGATCTCCCCTAAGGATCCTTGGACCCTCCTTAGAAGGGGTCGAACCCTCTATAACAAGGATTTGTACCCTCCATGTATCCTCAAAACCATTGTTTTTGATGGTGCGGATCCTTAGGGCCACATCATTCACCCCTGTTGGGAGGTCTGAGACTTCCAGCTTCTTTGGGCCTTTTCTTGAAGTTCAAATGCATGGTCTATAGTATGACTACCATATGGTCTAATTTATCAGATTTCTTGGTTAAATCTAACCAGGGCACCCCAACAACAATCCCCAAATCCCAAACAAACTGGATACCAACGAGGCAAACAACACGGCAAACACCCCAAGAATCCAACCCATGCACAACCCACTCCACCAAGCGGAGCAGGAGCTTCTTCCCATGTCTCTGTTGCGGGACCCATGTCTCCAAGCGGTGCTCTGGAGCTCCCCGGCCATCATCCGATAAATGGCTTGGACAAAGACCTGGACCACGGGGAGAAGGTCCCGAAAGGAACATCCGTCCAGGACTGGAGAAATATGGAGACATTGGAGACATAGGCGTCGGAGGGGTTAGATGGTTGAAAAAATCATCAAGTCCCAACTAACCAACTTCTATATAATAAGGTAGAAATTCTACAAACATTCTTTACCTAGGAGGGTCCCAACTTCTACACTTGGTCGCGAAGCGAACGGGACCAGAACATCACCACTCCTTGGCTCTCATTCAGTTCGCTGGACGGCGGGTGCCCAGTTTGCTGGGCCCAGAGTGCGGCGACTGGTGGGTCGAGTGTAGATGGCACAATCCCCCCACATGTGGTTTATATGGACCTATATATCAAAGACATCTTGGGGTGCCAGTGCCACCCACTCTCAATCCACGCATTCCAGTCAGTGTACACTTCCTGGAGCTCACAGGAAGTTACGTGCAAGGCATGGCCCCCCTGGCGTTCGGAAGACCATGATGTTTCCTTCTTGCCGAATCCGGGCCCCTTCAGCAACACATAGGGTTTGGTCACCGGGCCCCTTTGCGCCCTGCGGTTCGATCGGTGGAGAAGGTTTCGGAGCCTGCCATCGCGAGCCCGGACTCGGAGTTCTTCGGGTGCGTGGTTTTCTTCCACCCGATCAGGATCCGCACCCGAAACAAAACCAGGGTTTTGAGGGTACAAACCCTTGTTATAGAGGTCGAGGGTCCGGACTTGGATCCTTAGGGCACTCCCATGTGAGTTGTGGGGAGTGGATCCTTGCTACTATAGTGCTTCCTTTTAGTTATATTATAGGTTATAAGAGGTTTATAATATTTCTTATAAGTATTCACACACATATAAGAAAATTATAAGTAACATATGCATCTTATCTTCTTTGTTACATGTACACTTATAACAATTATAGACACACTTGCAAAAGTTATGCACATACTTACGAACTTGTGTTTTTTCTGAAAAATGGCATGGTTAATTTTCACACATTCAAACCTTTTTTTCTTTCAGAATTTGCAATTTTTCTGTCATTTTTATTTTCAGCGGAATGCCGCTTTCCATCGGCTTTGCATTTGCCCGCAGTGTTTATCGGGGCGCATCAGTTTATATCGGTGCGATGAAGCGCCCGAGCGAAGAACCAGATATATTGTTGCCAGAGATGCCTTTCATTTGCATGGTGGAAGTTTTTCGTTTATTTTTGAGATTGTTTGTGGTTGTGTTCTGAAGTGTTACTGTTTGTCTTCATTCTGAGGTCTACAAAAAGATCTCGCGGCATTCCTCGACTCCTCTTCTCCACCAAATGGGTGATACGAGATGGCCAGCTGATGTGGAAGCAGATTTTTATTTCAGGGCGCGAAGAGTTGTGGCTGGGATTGAGAAACATTGTTTTCTTGAACAGAGTACAGCAGTAAATATAAGTGGAAGACTTCGAGTGATATGTTTTTTCTGCTCTCTTTCTTTTTTTGGTTTTCCCTACATGCAGGACATCCATCGATAAGCTGGCTGAAGAGTGGCCCGTCTCAGTTGGAGAGCTTGGCAAGATCAAGGAGATGGTCATCTCTAAGATGAAGAAAGAGGCTGTGGACCATTGACTCCTGCAGGATTGCATCTGCTCTTGTGGAAAAAATGAGGTGCGTGGATTGGATGAGCAGGCACGCACGAGGTTGATCATGTTTCAGCGGTTCTGACCGCTTTGCATGGTGATTTTTGTTCAAGGTGAAAGTCAAGGCTGCTTCATTTGTAAAGAACTTGAAGGCCACTGACAAGTTTTTAGGTAACATTGCCAAGTTACCTACGGCCGCTTCCATAGAAAGGCAGCAGTTGGACAAACTTTCCGTTGCCATAGAGAAGGCCTCGCTTTGGGGTCCTGAAGAAGCTGCCTGTGTGACAGAGGCTATAGGAGAATGCATCCATTTTGGGAAGGGTTCGAAGCAGATCCTCTTAGAGGGGACGGCAAAGAAGATCTCTTTGGCAGCACCAGAGCAAAAGAAGTGTGATCGAAGGGGGCTCCAAGACTACACCATGCTTCCACTTTGGATTCCAGATTCCATATGGGGAACGGTCGCGAACCTAGCTATTTGCAAAGATCAGATCTTGCACCTGGTTTGCCTTCATGCTCACAGATGCGGATTAGTCAATCCAACAGAAGCCACCTTTGGAGTCATCGCTTGCATCGTTTGCTGGAGTGTTTGGAGCAAGCATGAGACTTCTCAAAGCAATCGATACCAAAGCCTTATGTCCATGAAGCCCAAGATCAAATCGATCCTTTTGACGCTTGCCAAAGACAACCCTGTGCCCAATGAGAAACGGTTGAAGAGTTTGCCTCATGATGTGACAGAGGTGCCCAGTGTCCTTGAAGAAGTCTTTGCGAAGGAGAAGCTGGAATGGATTTATCATTGTTTGTTTCCTGGTTGTTTTGTTGTTTGTCCTTTTTGTTTGTTTTGAACTAATTTGCCTGCGCCTGAGGAAACCTTCTCAGCGCTATGTGACGGAGAGTTTCCTGGGCCTGTGTAGAAGCATGCCATTAAGGAAGACTCACACAGCCTCTTCGTGGTTTCATGGTGGGCAATCAGCCCTTGCGCCGTTCATCTCCAAGATGCATGCAGTCCCAGCTCTGATGGTCCCAGCTCTGATGGATGTGGATCCTCAACAAGATTCTCAGACCAGCATGGTTTCTGAAGTTGGGCCAGTGCTGCCTATCCCCGGTGTTGTTGGTGCTCCAGCAAGTCCAGTCAAGGCCAGACCTCCAGCTCCAGTGAAACCGATGGATGCAATCACAGATATAGTCAAAGCTGATTGCCCTCCCAAAGGTGAAGAGGGTGAGCAGGAGACAAAAGGGAACCAAGCCGTGAAGATAGTTCCTGGTGAAGAACTTTCCAAGAAAATGAAGAAGCAAGAGAAGAAGAGCCATCCGAAAGGGGATTGCTTGGAGGTCTTGGAAAGGCTCAAGGCAGAGTTGGCTGCAAAAAAAAAGAAAAAAGGCAATGGCAAGGAAGACCCAGATGTGAAAGCAGCAGCTTCCAAAGGGAAGCCCAAAGCAAAAGGAAAGCCCAAGAATGAAAAAAACAAGGGTGATGCTCCCAGGCAGGAAAGCAAGAAGAAAGCAAAACGTGCTGTCGAGCCTGATGTTTCAGAAGATGGACAGCAAATGGAAGTTGGCAAAAAGGAAACAAAACGTCAGCGCCATGACAAGAGTTCTCCCAAGCCTCAGCAGATTTCGAAACCGAAATCGGAAAAGAAGACAAAGATCGTGCAGAAGAAACCTGCAGAGAATGCCGGCATGGATGAGTCCCATGCAAAGCCATCTGCAGAAGATGACATTCGAAGCACTGACACTAAGAAGACTTTCACCAGCAGGCAATATCACAAACGATACTCGAAATCGTTGGCTGAGGGATTGGGCGCAGACGAAGCAAAGCGGCTCGCACGAGAAGCGCATCGTGAGGCTGCAGACCTTTGGGGCAAAAAGAGTCCATCTTAGTTTGATGGCATAGGAGGGTTATAGGTGTGATTTCACATCTTGCAACAAGCATTGGGAAAAAGGTTGCTGCTATGGAATGCTTTGGGCGTTTTGATCTTTATTTTGATAGTTTGTATAGTGTTTGAGCGGTGTCAACCGCTTTTTTTCGACAGTTCATTTTCTCAGATGCAAGCCATTGTTTTATTTGAGGCTCCAGGCATAAACAGTGCTGGAAGTTGCTCCAGAGAGCATCATGGCCGAATCTGTTGACAACCAGCTAGGCAATGAGGTGACTCAGATCTATGACACCCAGCCAGAGTCTCATGAGGGTGATAAGGCTGAGGAAGTTGAGGAGCCAACTCCACCACCTCAGCCAGCCACACCTCAATCGGCGACTCAGTCAGTGGCGAGTGTGCATGGCCCGAAGGCAGTTGAGCAGTTTGGTTGGTCTGATTTGAAGAAGGCACCTCAAGATTACTGCTCAAATTGCAAAAGGCCAGTCAATGCTGTCCCCACTCATGTTGTGAGAAAAAAAAGGCCATGCTGGTGTCCATTGCCGGACTTGCCACAATGTGACCTCCATGTTGTACAAGAAAATTGATATGAAGAATCTGGAGGGGTGGAAGGACTTCTCTTCAGATCAAATGGCAGACTTCTTCATCAAAGCTGGGCAGTGCAGTGACCCCAGCGGGAATCTGCAATGGGCTAAGTTGAAGGGCTGCCTGGTGGATTCTATGTGCGAGCATGAGCGTCACATTCGGGAGACCAGTGTGAAGGGCAAGTACTTGCCTCTATCGGTCTATGCCAAGAAGGGTTTTGACACAGCTGCCATCGAGGCCAGAGCTGAGAAAAAGGAGTCTGACTTGCTACTTAGTTCTGACTGGCGCTGTATATTTGTATAGTTGTTTTTTGTTGTATATGAACTTGTCTGTCAACAATTTTGCAACCACGCAGTGCTACTTAGGTTCGGCTATGTCTACAAGGTGCCTATCCTTCAGACTGGCTTCACACATCTGGAAGAAGATGTGCGCTCACGAGTTCTTCAGGCAGAGAGGAAGATCGTCAAGGGCAGCTGGGCTTTTAATTTATATATATATGTATGTTTTATTAATTTATATGTTTGTGGGTTGCTGCTTTTGTTTCAATTGGGAATTCCATCATCCCCGAGTTTCTGAGGTAAGCCAAGCAAAAGGGCAAAGAGCAAGACTGGCGACCAGGAGCAGGAGAACCAGGAGAACGAAGATCCAGACGAGATCGATGAGCATGACTTCAAAGACTGGGAAAGCATTTCCAGCAGTGGCTCAGAGAAAGCGGATAAGAACAAGAAGAGGAGTGGGAAAGGGAAAGCCCCGAAGCGCAAGGAAAACCATGTCTCAAAGGAGGCCAAAGCAGAGGCTCGAAAGGAAAACAGCAAGGTCTTGGGACTTTGTCGAAAAGCAGTGCGGCTCTTGGAGCCTTTGGTGAAGGATGGCAAGAAAGCTTCCAAGAGTGAGTATGGCAGTGCACACTTGAAGCAGGAGTACGATGCAGCATCCCAGATTCTCAAGAGTTCTCAGAAGTTGATCATCGAGGGTCCCCAGGCCACTGCAAATGGCAAGATCTTGGAGTACCAGTATGACGACTCTACCATCAAAGAGTTGCACAAGAGCTTGAAGCAGCGGGTCGAAAGCACAAAGCAAGTGGAGATGTTCCTGACCAAGATGGACGATTCGGCACTTGAGAAGTTTGCCAAGGCAGCGCAAGAGCACCTCTCCAAGAATGTGGATTGAGGGAGTCATTTTCTGCTTTTGACATTTGGTTGGTGTATTCATAGGTACATCAACATCAAAGATGTTATCGCAATTAGAAGTGCATTTGGCAAGATCCATGCAAAAGGAAAGACTGTCAGCAGAGCAGACATTCCTATCAGCGGAATGCCGCTTTTTATTTTGGTCACTTATGTATTTTGTTGCTATGATAATATTTTGAGCTTATGGTATATGCATGGTATACTTGTGGTATACGGGTGGTATACGGGTGGTATACGTGGTATACGGGTGGTATACGGGTGGTATACGGGTGGTATACGGGTG